CCCTATTAATCTATAGTAGAAAGTGTCTCTAGTAACAGCTAAAAGGAAACAGGGAAAGTTATTTTGACTCATTCTCTCAAAAGAATGCTGTTAGTAAATTTGGTTGATGTAAATTTGGGTGGGGAACACATAGTTCTCCAGATGTTTTTGGACTCCATCTCCCAGTAGACCTAGGCAGCATAGCCAATGAGGTGAGGGATAATGAAAGCTGCAGTGCAACAATGTCTGGAGATCCACAAGCTGTCACACCTGAGGTAAATCATGTTCTGTCAGATGTACATTGTGCTGTATCAGATGGTGCAGTGGCTGCAACAGTAGTTCCTTGGTTATTTATTATTTATTTTATTTATTCATTCGATTTACAGCCCGCCCCCCTAGACAGCATCTGTTTAAGAACTATTATTCTTTCTTTTTCTAACAGGATAAAAAAACATGGTTTTTAAAAGAAAATAGAGATTGAAACAACCAGACCTTGGAAGTAATTAGTTTTTTGTAACTAGTTACTTTGGGGTAATGAGTAATATTGTTACAAAGTTGTTCTTTATCTGTAGCAAGTAATATCAGTGATACCTGGCTTCTTTGAAATGTTACTTTTAAAGGTCATTTTAAGAGGAATTTTAACAGGAGGGGGAGGTTTCTGCCATTTTTTGGTTTTGTCTTTTGTCTTTTGAGAAATATTTCCAAAGTGCAATATCAGACTCCCCAAAATCCACAAGGACTCAATCCTACTCAGACCCATTGTAAGTGCCATCAGCTCCCCAACATATGGATTAGCCAAACACCTAGCGACCCTCCTACAGACCCATATTGGATAAATCTCATCCTACATCAAAGGACATTTCATAAGCAAGATCAGCATCCTAAAACTCAACCCTGGGGACAGACTGATCAACTTTGACGTAGTATCCCTCTTCGCTAAGGTACCAATAAAGGGCACCCTGACACTCATCCAGCAGATCTTTCCAGAAAACATCAAGGCCCTCTTCCAACACTGCCTAATGACCAGCTATTTCCAGTGGGATAATGAATTCTATGAACAGACAGATGGAGTGGCCATGGGGAGCCCCCTCAGCCCAGTTATAGCAAACTTCTACATTTTGAAAAACTTGCCCTGGCTTCGGCACCCCTCACACCCACAGTCTGGTTCCAATATGTGAATGATACCTTTGCAATTTGGAGCCACAGTGAAGAAAAATTGGAAGAATTTCTCAACCATCTCAACAGCATCCACCCAAATATACAATTCACCATGGAAAAAGAAATAGAGGGCCAACTCCTGTTCTTAGATGTCATGGTCCTATGCAAAACTGACTTCCGACTGGAACACAAGGTCTACAGAAAACCCACCCACACAGACCGGTACCTACACAAAATCTCCAACCACCACCCACAGCAAAAAAGAGGCATAATCAAATCACTGGTAGACCGTGCAAATCGGAACTGTGAAGCTCAGTTTCTCAGCACTGAACTCAACCATCTGAATTGGGCCCTATAGGCAAATGGCTACTCCAAAAATGAAATCACAAGAGCCATCAAACCAAGAAAACAACACCGAACTGAAGAAGAAAAACAGCCACCCACAAATAAAGTATTTCTGCCGTACATCAAAGGGGTCATGAACCACACGGGGAAACTTTTGAAAAAACACAACCTACAAACAGTATTCATGCCCACCACAAAGATGCAACAAATGTTACGGTCAGCAAAGGACAGAAATGACCCCCTCACCACTGCAGGAGTATACCGGATACCTTGCAGTTGTGGCCAGGTATATACTGGAACCACAAAATGAAGCATCCACACCAGACAAGGAACGTGAGAGACACTGCAGACTAAAACAACCAGAAAAATCTGCAGTAGCTGAACATGCCCTAAAACAAACTGGACATGAAATTCTATTTCATAATACTGAAATACTGGACAACACCAGCAGTCATTATGTCAGACTGCAGAGGGAAGCCATTGAAATCCACAAGCACCAGCAGAACTTCAACAAAAAAGAGGAAAGTTTGAAATGCAACAAAACTTGGCTCCCAGCTCTCAAAAATACAGAGTGCAAAAGGTCAACAAACTACCCAGCCACAAGGACAGGGGATCACTACACACAAAAGACCAGCTAATGACACCCATCAGTCACAGTGACAGATAATCTCTCTTCCTTATCACAACAATACACCCACAACAAGACACACTAATCACCCATTTACAGAAAAAGCCAAAAGCCTGTCTCACAGCCATAAATACTCCACTCCCAAGCCAACTACACCAGAGCACAGAATGCTGTCCTCTGAAGATGTCGGCCACAGAGACTGGCGAAACGTTAGGAAGAACAACCTTCAGAACATGGCCAAAGAGCCCGAAAAACCCACAACAACCATGCAATATCAGACTTTGCCACTAGATGCCCCTATAGAGTATAACCACACATTGCTGGCCTGTGATCAATGAGAAGGAAACAAATTATTGCAACAGGAAGTATGTGACTGGAGCAGTGTCAACAATAAAAGCAATTGGCTGCTAATGCCAATTAATGCAATGTATTCTTTTTAAAATATAATGTTACAGGCTTCATTCATGACACTTTCCTTCTACATACTGCCACTTGGGAATTGTTATGCAAATAGACTGCAATGCCCATAGCCAGCAGTGTGACCCTATACATATCTAGTGAGGAGTCCCACTGAATTAAGTGAGGCTTGCTTCCAGCTAAATGGGAATAAGACTTCACACAGTTCTCTGTATCGTCTCTAAATTCGTAAGAGTCCATAACACAGTTTGTAAAAGAGGAACAAATGGTCTGAAATGAAATCCTACACGCAGAGAAAAGGTTTCCATATACATAGCTTGAGAATAGAATGACTGCCATAGAATTACTGTGTGATAATTAATGAGATTACATGCCAAGGTAACCACGACGTAGGTCTACCAATTAAAGGGGCTTTGCAAAAGTGGTATAATTGTTGCTGGATTTTTAGGAGAGTATGGTAATTGTTAATAATGGACTGCCTTAGTTCAAGCAAGCCAGCAACACAAATGGATGATCCATGGTTCATTTGCTTCTCCCCCCCTCCCCCAAAATGGAAATAGGGTAGTCAAAATGATTTATTTGTCTAGCTTGAAGTGGCTTAAAAGGCTAATTCCAATTATGAAGTACACCTATTTCTGATCTAACTATGCCCTCAAGCTCCTTGGCTAGGACGTAGGCAGGTTACACCATTCCATTAGCTTCCTTGATATACTCCTTGTATTTTCAGTGCTAGCAACAGAAAATGGGGGTGGGGGGAGTGAATCATGCAGAAACACAGGATGTTCAGTATTAAAGTTTGGTATCATAACCATTCTCCTCTCCAAAGTTAATCTAGCATATTCAGAGCTACTGTTGCCCAACAATCAGTTCAACCGTTCTCACAGAGCTTGGAAGTAGTCAGCTATATGTGATATAGATAAGAGTTTCTTTTTCTAAAACTAAGAGGGCATTTCAAAAATAATATGACAAGTGGAAATAAGCAAAAAAAGATGGGCAGTTTACTTGCTTTTAAAGGGCATTTCTCAACACGATGATGCCATCATTGCTATTCTGTCCCTGCTTAGCCTTGGAATTTTAATAATACTGACAAATTTGTGCGTGATTGAGAGAGAGAATGAGAGAGAGGGAGAACATTAGGTTTACCAAGTGGAGAAGACCTCTCAAGAGCACTTTTACTAGCACTCTGAGCAATGTTTTTGAGTTTTATGCCATTTCCTCATCAGTCCTAGGGTCTGTTTTTTAAAGTAACCAAAAAAACCCCCTCAAAACCCCAAGGAATGAATAAAAGACAACATAATGCATAATTGATAACCAAATGGTGATGAGTTACATAATAAACTAATTTTAAACAGTACATTTCCCATGCTCTGGTTCCTATCCATCATCACCCACATCATTTCAGATGTCACTCTATCCACTGGTTGTACACTTGGGTAAGGGTAAAGGGAGGAAAAACCACACAACTGTTCAGCAATTCTAGATCACTAGAGATTCAAAATATACCAGAGTCTACATGCTGCATGGTGCCCACACATTGTTTCTACAGATGATGTATTTGCTTCCTGTTTTGAGATTTTAAGTTCTCTACATGCATTTCAAAGCTCTTTTTTTGTGACATTGGAACCCGTTTGCATTGAAGAAAAGGGCACATGATTCCCCCTAAGGTCTTTTTTAATTTTCTAGCTTTATTTCTATGATCTCTAAAATAAATTAAATGTATATGCCAAAATAATCAAATATGCAGTAACCTAAAGGAGACCTTTACAAAAAATCAGATTTTGCTGTAAGTTCTTAGTTAAGTAAGCCAGTTCCTTGACATGCAAAATATGGTTGCCCATATATTTTAAAATCTCCTTCTATGACCTTAGCTGTTACTTGACCTGCAGACATCAGCAAGTAACAATGCCTATGTCCATGCAGTGAAAATGTTAGCCTGGGTTGGATTTTCATTGTTAGCTGGCAATCTTACTAAAAGTCTGGCTCCAACACAATGTAAAAGTTGTTCCCAACCCTGATAGTCACATGCAATTATGCTTGTTTTAAAAGGGGAGATGCTATCTGAAACAAAGTAGGAATGCCTGCATATCCAGTTTCTCTATAAAATGAATAGGGAATCCATGATAACAGTCCACGTCCTAAAAACACCTTGGGCTGAAGCAGCTATACCTACATAAGGAGAGAGAGGGAGGACATGAAAGAAAGAAGGGAATACACATAATTAGCAAAAATGCATAGAATAGTCCTTCTGGAATTGGGTCTAAAAGATAAAAGACACTAGAATTAATTTTGTTTTGTTTTTTCCCTATGTCTACCCTCCACTTCAATACTTTCTCCCCATGTCACCCTCTATTCTCATATCCCATTCTTCTTCAATCCTTTCATCACCATTTTTTTCTTGTAACCACTGCCCTCAACACTCCACCTCCTCTTCTCTTCTCCCTGTTGCTTAGCAACTCCACTGGATCAAGAATCCAGAAGATTCAAATGGTGACTGTATCCCAGTAAGTGACTGGCAGCTGTTTTTCTGGTCTGATGGCTCCATGGAGGCAGCAAGCAAAAGGACTTAAGACAAACTAACTCAACGGAGGTCTCCTTGTGGGTCAACAACCACCCCTACGCTGCCATGGGGGTGCTACTGAAATGCATAACTGTAGCCCTAATCAGTTGTTCTGTCACTTCGATGCATTGACAGTTACAGAAGAGAAGCTAACCCTGCTCCTCCTTCATCCCTTCACTCAAGCAAGCAGTAACATGTTTGAAAAGAAGGGTCCTGGTCATCTGTAGTATAGTTTTTACATACAACCAAGAACCCAGATTTTCCAGGATTCTTACTTGCACGTAGAGAAGTGGTTCCCAGCCTTGGGTACTCAGATGTTCTCAGACTAAAACTCCCAGAATTTTTCACCATTAGCTGTGTTGGCCAGGATTTCTGGGAGTTGTAGTCCAAGAACTTCTGAGGAACGATGGTTGGGAAGTACTGGTGGTAGAGCCTACATGCAAGCACAAGCCCTCCTCTTCAGAAACATTATTGCTTGCATACACAAACTGGTGAGGGAGAGGGTGAGTCTAGCTCTCTCTTCTATGCATATTAATGATTCTGGATTTCGTAATAATTTAATAGGGCTCATCTCTTGTAACAAATCCAATGCAAATGCAATGGAGCAAAAGCAGAGGTCAAGCCTGTTTCCTGATCTTGCATAGCTTTCCAGTCTGCAGCCATTCTTGTCCATACAAGGCCACAGAGCAGTACAAGCACATTAAAGTCAGTTCCTTTGAAAGAAGGCATTGGATGATAAGTTTACATATACCACTGGACCACCAGAAAGACAAAGAAATGGGTTCTGGATCAAAACAGATATGAAAACTCACTAGAAGCTTAAATAGGTAAGAGTGCAATCAAACAGCAATAAAGAATTGCACCTGAACATATTGGAAAGGGACCCTTTGAAGAGAGCAATCTCCTTTAAACTGGCCCTTCCTTGTGAACAGGAATCACTCATACCCATCTCAAAAAAATAAATAAAAAGTAACCCTGCTGCAGGACCAAAAAGGCCCAACATGGCATTGAGTATGGTTGGGCTGGTACACAATCTCCTATGTGGTCTGATCGATAGGAAATGGCTTGCATTGGATCATGCCACAAGCAGTCCAAAACACAAGCTATTTATCCATCTGAGGTCACCCTAAAATGAGGATATCATACTTTGGTCATCTCATGAGAAAGCAAGATTGGAAAAAGATAATAATGGAATAAAGTGCAGGACCAGGGGTAAAGGGAGAGGATTTGACATGAGATGGATTGAGTCAATAAACAAAACCTCAGCCATTAGTTTGCAAGACCTGAGCAAGGATGATGGGACCTTTAGAGGTCATTATTTCATAGAGTTGCTGTAGGTCAGAAGTGACTCTCGATGACACATTAACAACACTGCATTGAAGTGTTTTATTATCACTTCTTTCAGTTTTACAAAAACAGTTCTTCAGTATGAGACAGTAGAACCACACAAAGTAGCCCATAATTCCACGTTCTTTGATACATATAATTATTTGTTTTGTCCAAATCCCACTGTCTGAAACTCAAATCAGTTTGTCTCCATGCTGCAGATAAACCAATGAAGGTAATGGTAAAGGTATTCTGCTGGACCAGGATGCCAAGAGAGACCTCATTCAAGAAGACTTGACCATCCCAAAGGCATGGAAGAAAGAATACACTGTACCTTACCCTATAGTGAACCCTATAGTAAGACTGCAGGCAAAAGGCTCATTGAGAAGATGCCACACTGCAGCATCTTCCTTCACAATGCAGGCTCACTGTGCCCTGGTGAGAAATAAAAGCTGAAACAATTGAAAGTGAAAAATGTGTTAGCTGTGCACCTTATTGAATGTAACGTAATTGTGCATGAATTCAACAATAATTTAATCATGAACCATGGAAAGACATGATTCAATTACAAGAGTATCTCAGACAAACATCTGGAAATAGTTTGGTCATTATCACACCTCTTAGCAGCTCAGCTCATTCTTCCCATCCAGGTCCCAAGTGATCTCACATTCTTTAGGCATATCATTCCCACCCCCACCCCACAAAAAAAAAGATTAAATAGATCGGGCTGGTGTAGGTGGTTGGCTATTACTCTGTTTCTCAGGTCAGTTCCATAAAAGAGATGAAATATGACAAATAATTCACAGCTAAATAGTGGTCTCTTATGTGGGTCATGAAAGCTGAACAGAAGATGGTTTTAGACTTAGCCTGTCATGATTCATCTCTACCTGCTTTCACTAAGGTTCGCAGAAGTCTACCATTTCACCAGTTGATTTTTTTGACAACCAGATTTATTGTTGCTGCTGCTGCCAACTTTGTCTACTTTTAAAGAGTGGACCTTTCATATAGCTAAGCCCATTACACTGTTTTACATTTTACATACTACAAATGTCACATATGACAATAAACAAAATGTATATTTAATACTGCATATTTTAACAGCCACGAGGATTATATATGCACAGTACTGGAAAAAGGAAGGAACACCTACAAATCAAGAAATAATTAAAAAGATACTGGACTGCGCCGAAATGGATAGACTAAAAATGAAAATCAGAGGAAAAGAAGATACAAAATATTATCAGACATGGGTCTTGTTCTATCAATGGTTAGAAGGACGTTGTATAGATTAGGAGCGTAATGTGTATGATAGTTGTTTTAACAAATGAATATAAGCTGCACTCAGGTGGCATGATGTTAAATCAACATGGATGGATTTTATATAATTAAAAAATCTCAAAAAAAAAAAGTTTACCTGTGCCTTTAGAGGCCATGGGGTCAATGTTGTATCTTTTGAAGGGCCCCCATAACCCATGGACCCGTATTAACTTTAATATTTTTTTGTCATTTGCAGGGTGCAAAGGAGCTTTTATATTTGAAGCCTCATTTTAGTTGAACCCCTTTTTCATTCGTAGATAAACAACAAGCAAGCAAACATAGCAGTAAACTCTGCAGTACATAGCAATTTTTTAAAAAATTAAATATGTCATTAGCCTCTTTAATCCCTTCCCTTTGATACTGGGCTGCCAGCAAATCTGAATAATGGACTTAAGCCACCAGTAAGTCTGAGCTTGCCATGCACCATAAACAATGACAACAGCCATTGCCTACAATATTTAAGCTGTTGTCCAGTGATCCCTATGAAAATGTCAGCTGCTTGTCTCCAGAATAACAAACCCGAGGGCAACACATCCACATGTGAAAGAAGGAGTCATACTGCCTAGATCCCTTCCTGCATTTGGGGGAACAAGCACTAGCAACGCAGTACCACAAAAGCATTATCTCACCATTGTCCCACTGGGAGACAGGAAACTTGAGTTTTATGCTCAGTCTTCTGTGCTGTTTTCAAATCAATTGCCTTCTTAAATGCAGTGATCTAATTTTTCTTTTAAGGCTGCAATAGCTTGCTCAGGATTGGATAGGAAATGGAGAATATCATCAGAAAACAAATTAAGTGGTGTTTGGCATGTGTAATGATACCTTTAATGTTACAATTGGAAGGCATCCAATCAATCAAGTGTGTTGCAGTGGTCTAGGACTGAGGAGGCGATGGTCTGAATCCCTACTCAGCCACGGAAACTCACTGGGGTGTGAAAGTGGTAAAACCATTCCTTAAATATCTCACTTAATACCGAGTCCCTCACACTCAGCCACGGAAACTCACTGGGGGTGTGAAAGTGGTAAACCCATTCCTTAAATATCTCACTTGATACCGAGTCCCTCATCACACTGCTCCATGCATTGGTAGGCTTGAGATTAGACTACCGTAATACTCTTTATGTGGGGCTGCCCATGGGGCTGCTACAGAAGCTTCAGGCAGAATATTGTGGCCAGATTATTGAGTGGAGTAAAATAAATACCATCATATCTCCCTTAATCTGGCTGCCTTGCACTGGGTTACCTGTCTGTTTCTGTGCCAGCTTCAATGTGATGACATTGACATAAGCCCTAGACAGTTTGGGACCTTGATATTGAAGCCCTAAACAGTTTGGGACCTTGATATCGGGCAGAATGTCTTCTTCCAGTGAGATCTGCCTGTTGTATTTGATCATCTCAGGCCCAACGGTTGGGATCATTGGCCCCGAGAGAAGTCCAGAAAGAGAAGACCAGAAACTGGGCCTTCCTGGTGGTCGCTCCTCACCTCCGTGGCCCCGAGAGAAGCCCAGAAAGAGAAGATCAGAAGCTAGACCTTCCTGGTGGTCGCTCCTCACCTCCAAAATAAACTCCCACTTCAAATTCAACTGCCCTTTCACTGGGAATTTTAAAGAGATATTTGAAAACATGGCTGTTTATATAGGCTTTTCCAGATATTACATCATCCAATTGCAGCAACTCTTTCAGCGTTTAAATTATCTGCTGCGCCACTTTGCCTTTATTAATCATTTTTATGCTGTTCTTTTTTTAATTTAAGTGAATTGATATGTTCTTTTTTGTTGTTGTTAAATAAGCAACGCAACAAAACAGCAATGCATCTACCTAGCATGTGTCACATTCCCAGGGGCTATAACAGCAGAGTCCAATAAGCCAGTCCTATGTCAGAAGTTAAAAAAAATGCAGAGCCGATATCCAAATATCAAAGCCAAATCGCACAACATAGTCCAGGGTTAGAGTCTAAAGCCAAGGGTCCAAAGAACAAGGTTCAACGTAGTTAGGAGCATGGCTGCAAGCCAGAGGTTTGACTTGTTGCTTTCATGAACTTCCAGCCCTCTGGGAGCTGCTTATATATTAAAAACAGTCCTTGAACTACTGGAAGCCTTTTCATCCTGTCAGAATTCAGGGCTAGTTGACCGGATGTTTCTGCGGGCAGCCTTCAGGTGATCCTCTGAACCTTTGCATCATAAGTCTTTGCCGAAGCCTGGCCCTCAGCCTATCTACTGGGGGAGGAAAATCTGGAGGTGATTCAGCTGTTTGTGTTTCTAATCACTCAGCATTCTACTCAGCTACAGTTAACCCCTCAGGTTCCAGATCTTCAGCTGAACTCATGATAGCATGCTACACAAAATATTACCTATGCATCTGTGTATACTGCCATTTATGTAGAATAATGCTGCATCAAGAGAAAAATATTTTAAAAGATTTAAAGGGTGCAGTAGATGAAAATGGAGGGGGTGTCTCCCTTTGAAGGGCAAAACCCACCAAATATGTCCCATGTTTGTCACCTCAGATAACACCGTCCACAGCTCTATTTCAATGTGAAGTAACCATCTGCACAGGTTACAGGGCGGGATAATTGGGAATGTTTATAATTGTGACCCAAAAAAGGTCTTGTAGCCATAGCTTGTGTCAGAAAGGGAAAGGACAGCTCTAAAAAGGGACAGGACTGATCACTCTAATTTTAAAAAAACCTGTGTGGATGCCATAATTAGATTTGAACCAAATAGCACCAAAAATGATCTAAGTAGCAAGCTTTACAGTATATCCATTTGGATGTTGCTCTAACTTGGCTAATTTAAGTGTTGGGGGAGGCATATTTACTTGAGACACTGCTGATACTAAAAAAAAAAAAAGATCTAAGAGATCATAAACTGTGGAAAAATTATTCCCCAGAGATTACGATAACATTGTCAAGGCCTGCTGTTTTATTTTGTCCAGTGGTCAATTTCAGATAAGGTTGGGAAAAACATGACTAAAGATAGCCCAATTTTGAAGGAAGAATTGCAATCCCATTAAGCTAATAATGCAAAGCTAAGACTTTAAACAGTCTGAGAATGCATATCCAGCCGTAAGATTTTTCTACATTTCTCTGCTGGTCTTAACAAAAATTTCCAGCGTTTCTGCTTCTCCCCACCACTACTTAGTTTAATTTTTCAATTTGAAGAGCTATTGGTATAAAGCATGCCTCATTAGCTTGTGGGAGGTAGCCAGTCTTCATTAATTCAGTTCTTCTCACTTCATTTGCTTTGCACACAGTCATAATTAGCTTCAAAATAACTTGGATAACTTCGATAGATTTACTGCTACGATTTTGCTCTCTGGTTCTGCGTTGCCTTCTGTTTTTCCAGTGTTTTCTATGAAAAGGAAGAGGGGCAGTTAGAAAGACAAAATATACATTTGGAGCTGTGTATAGTGCTATAACCTTGAAAAGGACAACAGGCTGGCTTTATCCTTTGACTCCACCATATGACTTGGTAATGTGGCAAAACATGTAATGTTCTTCACAGAGAATTGAAATAACTAATTGCAAGCCATTTGTTACTTATAAAACATTTCTTTTCCCAATAAATAAGATATAACTAAGTGACATTTCAACTGTTACTTGACAAGGAATAACATGACTGATGTTTGGAGGAGCATCTTATCTCTCTTCTAGCCATCTGCCCTCCTCCACAAAGCAATGGAAGGAACATCAGATTGAAGTACAGTATGCATCAGTTCTGCCTGTAGATAACGTGGTATTTTTTTTTCTCTCCATGGAAAACATTCTGATTTCTTCTGTCCAGCAGTTCTACTGATTAATTTCCCTTTTTTTCATAGATCACTGGCTTCTGCAGTGGGAGCTTACATAACAAAAGTTAGGTTCCATGCTAAAAATACAGAAAACACATATTTCACAGGTTTAGATGGTAAACCCCTCCTCAGTCTTTTTTTCCGTCATTTAGAGCAGTGATGGCGAACCTATGGTATGCGTGGCACAGCTGGCACACAGAGCCCTCTCTGTGGGCACACGAGCCATAAGTCACCATAGAGAAATACTTACCCGTCCTCTGATCCTGGATTTCGGCACTCCCCTCTGCTGCTGCAGTGGTCCAGCGGAGGTGTGC